AAAAATGAGGTCAATAATGTTTAAGTTTTATTGAAAATTAGCTACACTTAAATTAAGCTAAATATTTTATTAATTAATAGCAAAGTTCGTTATCTTCGACATGGAAGTTCTAGCATGAGTTATATTGTTTTGTTCAATGTTCCAAAAGAAAAGAGAATTCCACATAGTTAAATTTCAAATGGGTGAACTCGTCAGTTATTAAGAAATAAAAAACTTACGATCAATGATTATCAAAAAGACATAAGAGAGTTTTAATATACAAACCAACGACCTATACTTTTTATTTTACCTTTTCCTCGTTCACACTGTTGCTTCGGAGAACCACACCTTTCTATTCCCAATTTTGCTAAAATCTTTTTCTCGAATTCTTATACTTAAATTATAGGTGACACTAATTCCACAATTCCATATTTTTATTTGATTTTTAATTGTTTGATCTTAAGCTTTCTTAGTTTAAGTGTTTTCAAAAATTCGAAAATGTGATTTATCTTTCTAGAATTTTGATGATGTATCTCATTGCTACATGTGTGCTAGTCAACTCTTAGATATTTTCCATATTTAGAGCGTAAATTTTAAAGAGTAAATTTTACACCTTGCACACAATTCTCATGTTTTTATGCTTCTCACACTTAAAATTCATATTTACTTACATGACTGGTGATTTAAGCTTATGCATGAAAAGATGTATTTCACTATTTAAAAATGGTGAGAGTGTTATTTTGATTTGATATTAAAAGTATTGTGTGCATTGTGAGTAAATATGAAAGTTTAGTTTTGAGATATAATAATGCATAAAAGAAATATATTCTATGTTTGTAAATATCTCTATTAGGGGAAATTTACATGCCTAACACACAATTCTTTTGAATTTATGTATGTCACATTTAAACTTTAATATTTACCTACATCACACATTGATGGTTTAAATCAATGCATGAAAATGTGTATTTCACTCTTAAAAGTTATAATAGTGTTATTTTTTATTTGATATTGAATTTTTGAGTGTTATATGAGTAGATATGAAAGTTTAAGTTTAAAATATGTAAATACGGAAAAGCAGTGTTCTATGTATGTAAATTCCCCCTTTAAAGGTATATTTACATACCTAGCTCACAAATCTTATATATTTATGTGTATCACTCATAAACTTTTATATTCTCATACAACACACTTTGGTGCTTTAAGCCAATAAATGAAATTATAACATATTTTTTAAAAAGTAAAAATAATGCTATTTTTAATTTGATATTTGATGTGTGCTGAAAATTTCATAATGAGAGATTAATTGTTTAACATCTTAGCATTTGATGAAGATCCAACACACATATTGATAAAAAAGAATTATGCAATATGAGACACCTAAAATTTTTATGTGGAAAATCCTATAAAAGGGAAAAATTTACTGGGTCAGCCTAGTTAAATTAATCTAATGTTGGCTCTTCTCTTGAGTTAGGAAAGATGAAATTACAAAATTTATGTATAATGATATTTCAACAAGCATAGTCATAACAGTTAGCGAAGGCCTTACTCAATTATTGGAGATAATAGTTCGTAATGAATGTCGTAGATGGTGGTTGTAGTGTCAGCTTATTGTAGGGGCTACAATTGAAAGTCAAGGTAATCAGTGGCTAGAGAGATCATGAGTGATAACATTAGAAGCATTCATAAGCCACAAATGCTAGAGTTGGGAGCTGAATGAGCTATGAGAATATTTGTAAGCTACAGAGAGAAAGATTTCGAGTTGCATGAGCTGTGAGAATGTCTATAGGCTCCTATGGCTAGACTTGAGAGCTGCAACAGCTGCGTGCCACATGGGTCATAGTTGGTCCCATAAGTTATGAGAGTGTGCGGGAATAACATCACTAGGCTTTTAAGGCAAGAGTTTGGTGTTTTATGAGTGATGAGCTATGTAAAGCATAGTTGTTCAAGTAGGTCGTTGGGGGTGAGCTACATAATATCTTAAGGCTGCAGAGGCTGGAGTTAAGAGTTGCATGAGCAGTATGTCACATTGGCTGTACTTGGTTACATAAGTGGTATCAATGAGCTGAAGTAACACTTGCAGGCTATAAAGGATAAAGTTTGGAGCTGTAAGAGCTGTGAGTCAGGTAGGTCGAACCTTATCACATGGGTCATGGTGGCGAGCAAAAGTAATGTCCATAGGTCGTAGAGACTATAGTTGGGAGCTGCATGAGTTGTGAGCCACGTTGTTCATAGTTCGTCACATAGCTTAAGTAACATTCATAGGTTGCAGATGCCAGAGTTGAGAGTCCATGAACTATGAGTTGTGCAGGTCGTAGTTGGTAACACAAAACTTGGTGGTGAGATAAAGTAACTTCCATCAGTCGGAGAGGTCAGAGTTGGGAGCTGCATAAACTATGGGTCACATAGGTTAAAGTTGGTCATATAGGCCATGTTGATGAGCTGAAGTAATATCCATAGGTTGTAGAGGCAGCTGTAGTTGGGAGTAACATGAGTTGTGAGCCACGTAGGTTGCAGTTGGTCACATAGGTCATGGTAGTGAGATGTAATAGAATATTTAGAACACATAGGTCGGGGTTGAGAACTACTTGAGCTTTGAGAACATCCGTAGGTTATAAGGGTTAGAGTTGGGAGCTACTGATCTCTGAGAATGTCTGTAGATTTTGAAGGCCAGAGTTGAAAGTTGCATGAGTAGTGAGCCAAATAGGTCATAGTTGGACATATAGGCTGTAGTTGTGAACCACAAGGAGAGAAGTTCAAGAGTCTAAAGAAAATTGTCACATGATAGGTGTGTTGTTACATCATTTTTAGGGTGCTTCATTGTATTGTATGTGGGGCACGTCCTTGCACCTTAGCAGTGGTGCATCATTGCACTATATTTTGGGAGCGTCATTGTTACATCATAGTTGGGGTACGTAGTTACAACAATGTTGGTCATTACTCTTTATAGTGCTTCCTTGCTCTACAACGAGCATCATGAATCTTTAAGTGGCTTTTTTGCAATAAGCAAGGGATGCCAATTGTGGATGGTGAGTGGTGGCCGACGGTAGTCAAATATTATGGAAACTGGAAGTGTTCACTGGTTCTTTGGTCCGAAATGACATTGGAATTTAGCTCATTCTTCTCGATGCAACTCCAATTCCCACTCTTCTCCCATTTCATGATAGAAGGTATGACTTTATTTATTGAATATGGGAGATGCATCTCTATAAATAAGGAAGTAATATGAACCACTCCATTGAACGGTCCAAAGAGCTTCACTCGATTAGATTGTGAGTTTAAGGATATTTGAGTGTCTTAATGACGCCGAAATTGACTAGTCTTAGACTCGTTGGACTTGTCTCGTTAAGATGCTCAACTAGACTATAAGCTGATTGATTTGGAATCCTTTTGATCTTCCAATTAACCACCCAATGTTTTCAAATGTGGTTAATAACTATATGTGGACTTGATCTAACTCGAATTGGGCCAAAATTTGTGTCATTGGTTCTGCCTCATCGAGTAGGTAAGTTGACTATGAGTTTACTAGAACTGGAGTTCTGAATGATTTTTAAATTGAGATTGAATGTTTCTTGCTAAAAAAATTCTCCTATATTTGTGCTAATTGCCTTGATATTCATGTCATACGACAAAATTTGGTAATAACCTATCAATATTACTGTTCTAAGTGCTATATGCGTAAAAATGAAAGTTTTGGTTTGAGATGTAAATGCATAAGAATTTTTTTCTATGCATATAAATTCCTGTAGTGTTACTATTATTTATTTCTTGCTTAATAGAGATGTTTCTATAGGCTAGCACAATTAGATGACTTTTTAAAAACAACAAAGAAATTTGAGCACATCATGGTAAAAATAAAAAGATAATTATATAAGAACTCTTGACGAGAAAGATCAAGACACTTATTCTAGTTAAGTAGCTTTTATTTTTTTGTAGATTTTATCTTCAGCTAATTAAATATTGACAATGAAGATATCAACATATGAAAGAGAACCTAAGGTCGATGCCGTGTTGCTTAATATTTTAAAATTTAAAACGTTTTTGACGGATCCAATTATTATAGTGAAAAAAGTTGAAAATCTAATCGAAGAATTCAACATATGTTTCTTTTCTGAGTCGATATTTGAAGAGCGGTCTATATAAAGATGATGTTTCCCTGAATTCCGAGATTTTCTTCATGGGATTTCTAAGTTTCCTCCCTAAAAGAAGACCAAGAAGGATTAATTTTATTCTTGTGCAGGACAAATTTCTGGATATGTATTTTTTAAGTTGATGCTCATTACAAATGAATACATTTGATTACACATTTAATACTAAAACTCATGCAAAATTTTGTTTGAATACTTCAGACAATATTTTTAGCCTAATCAGTACTAGTTAAAAGACTTGCACGGTACTTAAAATACATAAATGGGCACCATGAGTCTATTTATAGTCCTACTATTTAAATAGTTTATGCTTTAGGCATTTAAAATAATGGTCGGAAAATATGTCTGTTTATCCAAGTAATATTGCTACTTTTAGTGTCATATGTAATAGCCAGTTTCAGTTTGCTGAAGAAGAGTTGGGATGGTACCTGCTGACAATGGGCCTATTTATCTACCTGGAGGCATTTTAAGACTATCTAAGAGGCTTATTTGATCGGATAACGACAAGCAATGCCATACTGGTTTTGACGAAAATTTAGCCTCTTCAATAATTTTGGGCACCGATATTGATGTGCTGTTGCGAAACAGATTCCAAATAATTTCTAACTCACATAACAAAGGAAGGACACCTAGTGCAAAGAATGATCTTTATAGTTCGCGGACACCTACAAAGCAGCCAGATGCTTGGGGACGGCGTTAAGAGCTAAAAACTTAAGCTGTACCAGCATGCACCATGTGGCTGCTTTGTAGGTGTCAAAATAGATTCCAAATATATACTGATATTCTGTCATTGTTAATAACAAATCAGTCTCAAAAGTAACTTGTATGAGCCTTGCCTAATACAATAAAAATCTAATTATCCTTGTATAAAAGGCTGTAGGTGCTTGCTGGTACTTGCTTGGGATTCAGAGAGCAGCGAAATGCCTGAAAGAACAATGCTCACTGCTAGCTGATGCCAACGGCTGCAGGCGGCAAACCGTCGCCTGCGTCAGTCCGATCTACTATGGCACCACAACTTCACCAATCACTGGCAGAGATAGATTAGCGTGGGCTAACAACTCCAACGCCAGAGCTACTTGCCTCGACAGCAGCAACAACTTCGACTATGGATCTTATAAATGGACAGTCTCTCTTGTGGCCAACACCAGCCGCCTTGAGAAAATTCTTCTTCCCATTTTCTGGGGCTTAATGACACTCAGGTGCGAAAGAAACTATATATGCTAATGCTTCTGTCTATATAATTAATTATTGCTTACTTGATAGTAAAAACGTGTAAATTAGCACATTTGGAAACCTGGAGAGCACAACGGAATGGCTCGAGATCGTTTTCAACATCATCACCATAACCTCTGCTCTCGTCTTGGTCACGATGTTGATTGGGAACATCAAGGTTAACGGTTGTCAAATATGCTTGATGAAATGTTGAGAAAGAAAATTTAAGCCTATTTTCAGTTTATTATTCATTGCAGGTTTTCCTGCACGCGACGACTTCAAAGAAGCAAGCTTTGCATCTGAGGATGAGGAGCGTTGAGTGGTGGATGAAAAGGAAGAATCTGCCGCAGGGTTTTCGGCAGCGAGTTCGGCAGTATGAGCGACAGCGTTGGGCGGCAATGCGAGGTGTGGACGAATGTGAAATGGTAAGAAATCTCCCAGAGGGGCTGAGGAGAGACATCAAGTATCATCTCTGTCTGGATCTCGTGCGCCAGGTATCATGGAGCATTCATTTTATTTCCAACACCGACACTCTAAGAGACGTTTGACAAACATCGATATTGATCATTCAGGTCCCTTTGTTTCAACACATGGATGAGCTGGTTCTGGAGAACATTTGTGACCGGGTGAAGTCACTCATTTTCCCCAAAGGAGAAACGGTAAGAAACCATTAATTTTCACCAATTGCCGGAGCCGGGAAAAAAAAAATTCTAATCATTAGAATACATTTCCAACTCAGATAACAAGGGAAGGAGACCCAGTGCAAAGAATGATATTTATAGTTCGAGGACACCTACAAAGCAGCCAGATGCTTCGCGACGGCGTTAAGAGCTGCTGTATGCTCGGCCCGGGCAACTTCAGCGGCGACGAGCTCCTCTCGTGGTGCCTCCGTCGACCTTTCGTGGAGCGGCTGCCTCCGTCTTCGTCCACGCTTGTGACGCTAGAGACGACGGAAGCATTCGGGATTGAAGCAGCGGACGTGAAGTATGTGACGCAGCACTTCAGGTATACGTTTGTGAACGAGAAGGTAAGACGGAGCGCTCGGTACTATTCGCCGGGGTGGCGGACTTGGGCGGCTGTGGCTATCCAGTTGGCTTGGCGGAGATATAAGCACCGGAAGACTTTGACTTCCCTGTCATTCATAAGACCACGGCGGCCACTTTCGAGGTGCTCGTCGTTGGGTGAGGAGAAGCTGCGGCTTTATACAGCGCTGCTCACCTCGCCAAAGCCAAATCAGGATGACTTCGACTGCCTTTGATTTAATTCAGTCGTTGTTGAAGGGTGTTTATCGTAATTTTACTATTTGGCAATTTGCCTATTTTTTTAAAATGCGCTGTATTATGGGGATTGGTTGCAATTAGATGTCTAAAGTGTTGATTTTCTCATATAAATCAAAATAAGTTATGTAATGATGCACAATCAATAAATTTTCATCATCCGCATAAATCTCCAAATATAACACAGAACTCGAGTTAATTTCTTAAATAATAAATATTTAAATTTTAATTAAAAGTCATCTAGAACTCTGATTTCAACAAACTTATTGTCAAGCTGACCAGTTCAACGAGACGTACCCAATCGTACAAAAAAAAGATCAAACCCAAGTGAAATTAAGCCAAAAATCAAGTCATTAAACTACTTTTGAAAACCTTTTGGGCACTTTTAGAAGGTCAAACAGATTATGAATTTGACGAGCTCATATTCGAATCAAGTGCAATTTCGACACCGTTAACGCACTCAAATGTCTATCAAATGTCCAATGACCGAGGAAACTTTCCAGGCTGTCTGAACAGAGTTGTTCGAATTCCTTTCTTAAATATAACTGAAACTTTATAAATAGAGTCATATCCTCTTCATGAGAACGAGTTGAAGTTAGCAGCTTGAAGAAGGAGCTAAAATCTCGTATAACTTTTGAATCGATGATCTACAGCTCGCGACCAACTCTGGTTAGCGCCTCACTCCGGTCACCGGAGCAATTCAACCAAGTTGGACCGCCAATGCTTCCAGCCAACTCGGATTGATGTCCCCTCTGGCCACCGTCACCTCTGACACCTCTGGCCACCACCACCTCTAAAAGCTGCCATGCTGACCAAAGTTAACCATCATCGATTCCCTCACACTCCTTACAACGAAGCACTGTACAAAATAACCTACAAAGTTACAACATCATCCCAGACGTCGTACTGACTGTGAAGATAGTGTATTGAAGCACCTACTATCGCCCCTCCTTGTGGCCACTCCCTACTGTGGAGCTACAAGTCCTATGCACTGACATTATCACTTAAGAAGTTGTGTAACCCTTTTCCATCAGGGGGAAAAGGGCTTGTACCCATTAAAACAACAGAGGGAGGAAGAGCACTAAGCAGAAATAATAATTAGAAATTTTAGATTGAAAGGATAAGAAAAAGTTTGCTCTAAAATTGCGATAGAAAGTTTCGAATACCTCTAACAGAGAGGATATTCTCCATTACAAAGTCACTGTAGCTAGCCCTGCCTTTGTTGACTTTACAAAAATTTCTAAATCTAGTTGATTATGAGTGAATAAGGGTAAAAGTGCTTAGCTGGTAGTGTATACATCCATTATGTTAAGTGAGGTGTGTACAATATTATCCCCCTCAAGTTAACGCTGCTAGGTTGGAGGGTTAGCTTGTTACATAGAAGGAGATAGCTTGGTGTGGAATTATCTTGGTGAAGATACCCGTTTGGTGATCCATGGCAGAGATGTGGTTGATGCCAACTTTATTAAAAAAAATTTTCTTAAGAATGAAGTTATAATCTATTTCAATGTGTTTTTGTGTGAGCGTGGAAAATTGGGCTGAGCTATGGCCATAGTGTAAGTGTTGCAATGTATGATTGTTGGGGCTGTGAGCAGGACACGGAGATCATGTAACAATCTTTGTAGCCATATAACATCAGTGGAAGCTGTAGAGAGAACACAATATTTAGCTTTAGCAGAAGACAGAGAGAATGTAGGCTACTTCTTTAATTGCCATTAGATGAAATTATTTCCCAAAAAGGAACAACATGTTTGTTATATCATTAGCCCAACTTGAGTCTTAGTAACTATGCAGAATGAGCAATCCTTGGCGAATGGGAAGACCAAAGCTAGCAGTCCCTTTGATGTATCGAAGAAGATGTTTCAATTGTTGGAAGTGAAGGTATAAGTGCTATTGTAGGTATTGAGAGAGTGTGTTGACTGCTAAGGTAATATCTAGTTTTGTTAATGTCAAGTATTGTAGAGAGCCTATAAGGTACCGATAGAGTTGCAAGTCTTTTAAAGGTTGCTTAACATGCCTAGAAATGTGCTACTTATATATATATATATATATATATATATATATATATACATTTCTTGCTCATTTCTAATGATATTGCACATTAATGAAAGTTTTTTGGCATGTTTTTCAATTCAGGTACAAGAGATAGAGTTTTTGAGAAAAAAGATAAAAAACGGAGCAAACTAGGATCAAATGGAGCAAAGGATTATAAAGTGAGCTGGTGCCTAGGCACCAGCTTTCGGTGCCTAGGACCTAGACCTATACATGAAAATAAAGAGTCAGGCGCCATGGTTCCAGGATTAGGCACCTATGTGCCAGACAATTATTTTGGGCTATAAAAGTTAGCGCTAAGGTGCCACAGTAGGGCTCCTAGGCACCAAAATTCATTTTTGATTTTATGTATTGAATTTAAATGAATTTAAAAGAGGAAACTGAGGTGACTCTTGGGGATTTGGAGTGTTATTTTAAATGGAGTTAAGAGGCGCCCAAAAGGTGGTGTGTGAAGGGGGGATGGTGTGAAGACGTGTCTTTTTCTTTGGTGTGAGGAAGAGCTTTTGGGAATGTGCGTGTGTCTCTTATAGTGAAATTGTAAGGAGAGTTGAGAATTCATTAAAAGGATTTCAAATGATTTGCTTGGGAAGAAGTTTAAGATAAATAATTTATATTTCTGTTTGAGTTCTGTTTATTGTGTAAATCATAAATTTAATATAAATCATATTTTGTTGTGTTATCCCCATGAGATCAGAGTAGTTTTCTTTATCTTTCTCCTTGCAATAAGAATTAATCTTGTGTAGGATTAAAATTGTCTTAAGTTTTCTCTTATTCCACAGTTGTGATGATTCATTACTTCGTACTTAATTTACATATTCAATCTAGCCAATTGGTATGTTAAAACTTGTTGTGAAGTCATAATGCCCCGGGAGGGATATGTTTTCCTTGAATAGTAAGAATCACAATAATCTTGTGGGTGATAAGGTTGCCCATTCGTTAGTGCAAATATATTAGAAGATAGGTTTTGATGGGTGTAAATTAGTGATTCTAGGTTGACATGCTAGAACCTTAAACAATTTGATCTAGAGTTTAGAACTTAAAAGATCAGTTAGTCCTAAAGAGAGGGTACAATGGGTAATTTAGAGTGTCATGCTAGAACCTTCCGAGCATAACCTAAGATTTAAGAACTTAACTCTAGGTTAGCCGATGTTTTTTATGCACTCGGAAGAGGGTAAGGATATGTATGCTTCTATTTGTAACACAATATAATTTATAACAATTTGAATTATACACTGATTATAATCTCATTGTAAGGGAAAATACTTTCATATAATTTAAACTCTTCTACATAAAGTTAGTTTTTGAAACTAATATAGTAAAAATTAGTTACTTCTTTTTACATATATAATTGTGACCTACTTTCCTAGAAAATTTTCTAGAGTTTAAGCTAAGTTTTACGAGGTTCATAAAAGAGTTTTCACCTTCCCTGTGGAATCGATACTGTGAGTTTTAAAACAAAATCCTATTTTACTTGAAACGATTTGTGTATTTACATAGTATCCCTAGTGTGTAAATTTAAAATGTGGAGAAAAAAGAATTATTTGACAAGTAACATTTAGATAAGAATTAAACATTACACAAACGCTGCGGCATCAAGTTTTTTACGCTATCTTTTCAAATTAAAATTGAAATAATTACTCACAAAGCATGCACACATTGTGTTGGGACCAAGTTGTTGGCACCATTGTTGGGGAAGGAAGGAAGCAATAGAACTTTTAACTTAGAAATTTTATTTGAACTGTAGAATTTTTTAGGAAAATTGTAGTGTTGTTTACATATAAGTGTTTGTTTGGGTGTTTAAAATATATGAGTGTTTTGTTTATTTTATATTCCGACCTTCTATTTTTGTATAAATAGTTTGGGATCTGAATGTTTAGTATCTTATGATTTTGAGATAAAACGAATTATAAGAAAAAATCAAAAACAAAAGAACTTCACAATTTACACGAAATGACAAACACATCAAACAATAAAATTGATAATCAAACTGCTAAAAATGAACATCATCATGTACAAAGACCTTTAAGAGATTACACAAAACCTATAGGAGATGAAATTCACTTGAGCATACAAACTTCTACTGTAGCGGCTAACTCATTTGAACTGAAACCCGCTATAATCCAAATGGTACAAAAAAATTAGTTTGATGGAACTCTATATGAGGATCAAAACTTACACCTTGTGAGCTTTCTAGAATTATTTGTTACATTTAAGTACGATGACGTATCAAACGACGCGTTAGACTTAGACTTTTTCACTTTTTCTAAGGCATAAAGCTAAGATGTGGTTAAACTCATTAGATATTGTATCTATCAAAATTTAGGGAGAGTTAGCGCTTAAATTCCTAGCTAAGTATTTTCCACCTTAAAAAATTGCTAAGTTTAGAAATGATACTACCTCATTTACTTAGTATGAAGGCGAGTCAATACAAAGTTTAAGGACGATTTATAGAACCCCTTGGGATGTGTCCACATCATGCTTTGCCAAACTGGTTAATTATTCAAATATTTTATAATATGTTAGTAGGATCTCTTAGATCTATTATTAATGCTACTGTAGGAGGTTCATTAATGTCAAAACCATTTGATGTTGCATGTGTCTTAAGAAATTAGCCAGTGTTCATAATACTAATGTAATTTTTATTTTGGTATCTCAAGTTGCTATATTATTTATGAAGTTAAAACAATTTAGAATGAACTTATCTCAAACACCTCATATGAGTGAGGAAAACTCATTGGGACAAATGATGGATTCTAAATCACCTTCTTATGAGACTTTAGATATAATTAAAAATAGACTAATAACCCATATTCTAACTATTTTAACCCAAATTAGAAAAACCACCCTAACTTTAATAAGAATAATAATTCTAATGGTGGAAATCAACAATGCGGGAACAATCAAGCAAAACCATTGGGAAACAGGAACAACCAGAGTAGTACTAATTATAGACCTTCTTATCGTCCTGAATTTACCAATAACCAACAAATTAAGGAGAAGAAGTTGTCTATAGAAGAAGTGGTGTCACAGATGGGGAATCAGTTACAAAGCAAGAGTGTTAC